AACGTGAGTCTGGCTTTCTTAACAAGATTATCGCGATTGATGAAACATGGCTAAAATCTTATGACCCGAGGGACTCTAAAGCTTAGCCTATATCCATTATAACATATTGGGTATAGGCTAGTTTTGGCCATATTGAGAATAAATTAAGTTTACATTAAAATGATTGTTTGAACAGTAGTTGACTTATTAAAATACTGAATATCATTTAATTTTGTAATTACAAAATGACGTCTTTTTACCCGCATTTACGAAGTAAACACAGTTTTGCAACAATGAGCAAATTTATCTTTCAAAAATATTTTGAAAATTTTTAAAAAATACAAAGTTTTTAGAATATAGTTGAAGATATATGTCTTAAAAGATTTCAAAAAGCATATGACATTTTCTTTGGCAAACATCGTGCAGTTTTTTAATCTTACAAATACTCATATATAACGTTAATGTTTTCATTAATATTTTCTCTAATAAATACATGAGTTTATACACGAAGGGTTGAAAATTCATTTGTTTAAAACGTGAACATTATATATGAGTATTTGTAAGATTAAAAAACTGAACGATGTATGCTAAAGAAAATGTAATATGCTTTTTGAAATCTTTTAAGACATATATTGATTCTCTATTTGCGGTTTCAATAGGATTGTTTGCAAACCTTGTTTATTAATATTAAGTTATTTGTTTCGAAAATTAAAATGATTTACATTTTTTAAAATTCAAGAGAACCTAAAGTGAAATTAATTTGAAAATGTTTAATTATACAAAAAGGACTGTTAAATAGGGCTCATAAAAACGGACTCCCCTACTTTCAAGTGGTTATATATACTGTATATATGAATAAAAGTGTTATATTTTTGAATTATTATTTTACTGGATTGTACAAGAATAGTTAGGGGTTTGTTTCATATATAACATGCCAAGAATATTATTTCATATAAGTGACCAAGCACTTTTAAAAATATTTCCTAAAAATATTTTGGCTAAATATTAAATTTTTCTATAGATTTAAAAAAATTACTTATCTTAATATATTATATTTCGACTATCATATCAAAAATGCATAAACCTGCAACAGAAACAATTAAAATCTAAAAGCACCTTGTATAATCTGAAAGTCATCTCTGATTGACACTTTTTCTATTCTTATGACTTTCATTAGAAATCCTATTAATACCAAAAACATTATTATTATGATAACGGACTGTACCCTAGTAGCTAACCTGGGACTGTGCCCTAGTAGCTAACCCGGGACTGTGCCCTAGTAGCTAACCCGGGACTGTGCCCTAGTAGCTAAACCAAGAATGTGTCCTAGTAGCTAATTACAGGTATTACATAAACGATTACTTTTATATGCGTTACACTATTTTCGCATCGATATAGTAGTACTGATTGTATTTTTGTTATCAAAAATAATAAGCAATTTACACATATAATATTGTAGTGTCGGTGTGCGTAATCCATAACGGTTATGGCATACCGGCCTCCACTATCGACCTTACCGTCCACACGTTTCCTTACGTTTTCCTATACAGTAAATCATGTTTATCATGAACCAGGTATACCATGAACTAAGGGTTTGTATGAACCAAATCCCAAAACCAAAAACCGCATTGCATTGGCTTAATGTTAAAAATATATGGATAGTGTTAACAATGAATACTGTTAACGAATGGATACGGTTAACAAATTTCTATTGGAAATTGGTATTTTTCAATACAAATAACAATCAATAGTATAAACAAAAAACTCACAAAATATTTTTGAAAGTATTTTATCTAAGGCTTTATAAATTGTGTATTGTGTCAACACATTGACTATTAATTAAATAAATTGTGTTCAAAATGTCTTCAAAACCGATAAGCCACTCGATTGAGACAAAGTTTGAGATGATTAATAAAATACAGGGTGGTGCGAAGGGAAGTCAAGTGATAAGTGTTACCAATGAATCCAATGAACACTCAAATAATACACAATAATAATATGAATTCATTGATTGTAAGCCTATTAGGACCGTTCAGGGACTGTAATCTGTCCATAATCTCCCCAAATACTTCATTTAAATGAATGACAGCTCATACAGGATAGTTTTTAGTAAGAGAAAGTATTTGGTATGACAGTATTTTAAATTTTTTACTAAATTATAGAGGAATAGTTAGGTTAGGTTAGGTTTTTATATACTTCATACATTGTTGCTAAGAATATTTGAATTTGGGAGGTTCGGGTGGAGAACCGCTGAATACTACAATATTTGATATACAATAGCCTCAATTTGACTATTGTTACTACGCGGACTCTACAATACTAGCAATGTAATGTACAATGAAATGACTATGCAATAACTTAATATATATATATAAGTAATTACAAAATTGAATTATTTCATTATTTTACCAAGTCTATTATTGTTGAAACATTATTTATCCATTTATTTGCTAAATTGTACATGAAATAATATTTAGTCCAATTATAATAATACTTTTAATTAAAAACATTCAAAATGGATATGATTAACGGATTAATTGTCTTAGCTATCTCGTTCATATCGATCTACATTTATTGGTAAAAACTATTATAATTTTAATAAAAACATATTTATAAAACTATAAATAATATATTGTAGGTCAATTTGCCGCGGAAATGATTACTGGTCTAAGCAGGGTATTAATGGTCCCAAACCTCTACCAATATTTGGCAATATTATCAGCAGGCTAAATTCAAGTCCAGGGGATCGTCTACTTGTCAATCAAAAGAAATATGGGAAAATATACGGGTAAACAGGGTACAATTTTAATACATACACATGTTACTATTGTATAATTGTAGCGATTTCATGGGACGCATTCCGGTGCTAACTATCACCGACCCGGAGCTAATCAGACTAATTCTGGTGAAGGACTTCCACGTTTTCGTGGGCCGGCACGTCGTGTGGACCCCGAATATCCCGATCCGTACCCGCAATCTGACCCAACTGTACGGCGACGACTGGAAACGTGTTCGCTCTATCGTATCGCCTATTTTCTCGTCGGGAAAAATGCACCGAATGTACCCTCAGATTAGACAATGCTTGGCGCCATTCACGAATTACATGGACGTGCTTGCTGAAAATCGTCAAGAAATTAACATGGTTGATACGTTTGCAAAGTTTTTCCTAGATGTGAATGCCACTACAATTTACGCTACAAAACTAGATTTGTATAAATCTCCGACAGATGGCGACACTACTAGTGAAAACCCGTTTGTTTTGCACGCGAGATCAAAGGTGGTGTTTCACGACTGGAAAGAGGTGGCGAAAGTATTGTTGCCAAAAGTTGCCCTCAAATGGATTGGTATAGAAGATACGAAAGCGAATTATTTTTTCGAGGACTTCATCCGCCACATATTGAAGGATAGACGCGATAATCCGGGTAAAACACATAATGATTTTGTTCAGTTGCTTATGGATGCTGAGGTAATCGATAGAAAGACTGGCGATCATAGTGCCACCACTCAGGATGACAAGGATAATAGCGAAATTCATCATGGTAATCAAGGTATGTAACAGATACTTAGGTAGTTTTATTAAAACAATTATTAGTTTTAGGTGTAAGTTCATTATAAGTTTGTCTAGATAAATTATGATTGTGACCATCATCAGGGTTCACATGTTATAAGATTACAAGAGAATATGTTTACATTGAAAACCTATTACATTAATGAGAGTATAGATGTCTAGTTAGAGCGCCCGATGTGTCCGATCTTTTTGTATTATCAGTGAACTAACCTAACAATTAATTTGGTGTATTAACTAAACTTGTGCTCAAAATTAATTTGTTGTTTCAATTGTTGTATTGAAGTTCCACCGGAAAACAGACCCTCTCTTGGAAACAGTCTCATTATCAGTGGTATTCATAGTGTCGACTTAAGTCTTAGCTGAGTCTCACATTTTAAGTAATTGCTCACCTGGTTTATGAAACACATTTAATCTGAGCTGCACCTTAAAACAACGTCTAACAGTGGTATTCAT